CGCTCTCAGCCTGTCTTCATAGGAGAGGTGCTCCAGCCCTCGGATCATCTTTGTGACCCTCCTCTGGACTCGCTCCAACAGGTTCACGTCCTTCTTAGGTTGGAGCATCCCAAAAGTGCCCATGATAGGGGGTCGATGCAGATCCCCCGCAAAGCTTCAGGCTCAACCTGCCAGCATGGAGGCCAGGAGCTTTGAGTCCTCTGGCTGTGTGAAGCCTTTCCTCCCCCCTCCCCTTGTCACCTTCTTGCAGCTCTGTCACCAGCCCTGTGGTCGGTGCTAACAGGCTTCCTGGCACAGCTGCAGCTCTGCAAGGAGGTTTGAGTATCTAAAATGCCAGCGTGGGGTTGGTTTGGTGACAGTGAATCCTGCAGCTGTTAAGGGCTCCAGGCTAAAAGGATGGGGGGTGGGATCCGATCCTGGGACGTTAACGTAGGTGAGGGTCCGCGTGCTCCTTCGCTCTCACCCTTCTCTGGGAACAGATCCACATGATCAGTCAGTTAGTGCCTCTCCCTAGGAGCATGTCCTACAGAGCGATTGCAGGAGGGACCCAAAACACAGCAGTTCCCTTCTGCTGTGTGTGATCCTGCTCTGTGACTCACCACCCATACGGGGCTGGGGCTGAGCTGGGGCCACCACTTCCCTGGAGGGGCTGCTCAGAAAAAACCTGCTGGGGGTGGGTCCCTTGGCACAGCCCTTCCTGGTCCCGCTTCTTCGCTCACAGCTTCTCTATTCCCAGGTTATTTCCTTGAAGACTTCGTGGACATGTTGTGCAATCAGAAATTTCACCAGTCCTGGGAGCTGCTCTTCCATCACTCTGTGGTGAGTCCGCTGGCCGCTCTCCAAGGGACAGACCCAGGTGCTTGTGCCATCAGGGAGGCTGGGGCTGGGGCAGTTGCTGTTGCTAGTGTGGGTGTTTGCTACCTGTTACAAAATTGGATTTTTCTGCCTGGAGAGGGGAGCCCAGCAGCCCAGACAGCAGAGCTCAGAGCTCCTCTTGCTCCTGTGGGACTCATATACTCTTTAAAAGGGTCTGCAGAAAGGTACCCAAAGATGGTGTAGGAAAAAAACCCCAAGTGTGCACAGAGTAGGGGGGGCAGAGAGCTGAGCCAGGGGGCTGATCCATAACAGTGGTGTGGACAGGCAGTGAGTGACCCAGGTGTCCCCACTGGCACAGGCAAGCAGCTCAGCTCCTGCCAGCTCTCGGCCACTGGAACAGCTACCAGGAAGGGCTGCACATCGCCTTCTTCCACCTCTCGCTCCCCGGGGTGCTTTCTTCTCATTTGGGTCAGAGCTGTGGCCATGGGGCTGGGGTGGCTGGAGCAGCTGTGGTGCGGGAGCCCCACACCAGTGCCCTCTGCCTCCCCTGCTCCTGGCTGCACCCAACGTGGGTTTCTCTTTGATTGCCTCCGATGTCCGGGTGCCGGAGTGTTGTGGATGCTGCAGGGCAGGGGGGTGGCACAGCCCGGAGCTGAGCAGCGGAGATGCTGTGGGGTGCAAGGGAGGCACAGGGGTCCGCTGGGCGTGGGCATGGGGGACAGGGACAGCGCTGAGACCTACCTGGGATGAGGTGGGGGAGGCGATGGTCAGACCTGCTGTCTCACAGAGCCCAGCGGCTCTGCTGGCCGCTGCTCGCGAGTCAAAAGGTCATCTCCACAATAGAGCTAATTCAGGCCAAGACAGCGACTTAACGAGCAAGGAGCAGATAATCTCATTAAAGAACCAATACAGAGAACAGCATTAATGGTATAAACCAAAGAAAGGACTGAGTGTGCTAAAGCGCAGGCAGGCAGAGCCTGTCCCCCTGCCTGGCGGGGAGGGTGTGGGGCAGGAATCGCACCCGCTCTGCCCCCAGCAGCCCCATCCTCTGCCCCCAGCAGCCCCAGGGTGCTTCAGACCAGGCTCGGGGCATCCCACAGGGCTCTCCGGTGCACTAAAGCTGTTTAATCCCTGCAGCGTGCCTGTCCTGGGGAGAATCCCTGAGCCAGCAGCAACCATACATGTCTCCCTGCCCCGTTCAGCCATTCACTGTGTGTGGAAAAACCTGCTGGGCCACAACCAACTGTATTCCCAAAAGCAGGGTTAGGTCTGGCTGCTCTGTCTCTCTGCCAACCTGGAGTTTCTAGAAGTGTTTCCTTCTCCTCCCACTGAAAAAAAAAATCGCTCAGGTTTCATGCAACGGTGGGCAGGCTTTATCTTGTGCCCAAGGCTGCAGCCTCGGCTGGCTGGAGGCTGCAGTGCTGTGGAGATATGTGTGGGTGATGACCAACGGTTTGGCACTGGCATGATAACCATTTCCACCTCTGCTCCACGCTGCGCCCAAGCATGGAGGGCTCTGGCTTGCAGTAGCTGCGAGCAACCAGCTCCCAGGCTCAGCCTCTCTTCTTTCTCCTTTGCAGGTGATTATCTGCTTTGGGATTGCAGTGCTGCTCCATCAATACGTTGGGTTTGCCCTTGTGGCTTTACTGGTGGAGATTAACTCCATCTTCCTCCACCTGCGGCAGATCCTGCTCATGGCCAACCTGGTGCACACCACGTGCTACCGCCTCAACAGCATCATCAACCTGGGCACCTACGTGGTGTTTCGCATCGCCACGCTGGCCTGGATGACCCGCTGGCTCTTCCTCAACCGGGAGAATGTGCCCTTGGCAACGTATGCTGTAGGCACGGTGGGCATGGCAATCATGACGCCCATGAATATCATCCTATTCTACCGCCTGCTGCGTAGTGACTTCTTCAGGTCCAGCCGGGACGTGCAGCGGGAGAAGGAGCAATAGCCCCCTTCCCCACAGGGTCCATGGGCAGCCCTGAGCCCGTGGAGGAGGACAGCTAAAGCGCAGTGGAGAGTGAACGTAGCTGTTTCAGTACTTCGTGTGGAGGGTCCACACTAACAGAGCATCTGGGCTTTTCTTGTGGCTGCAGATCCCGGGCCCTGCACAGCAGAGAAGGTGCTCACGGAGCAGGCACTGGGGCTCTGCTCCCCCCACACCTTTGGATGACGTGGTCGGATGACCAGGAGCTGCTCAGAGAAGGCTTGACAGCTCTCGCGAGGCACCACTGAGATGAGAAGGGTGCAGAAGAGCACTGTTTCCCCACTGCTCTTCCAGACATTCAAACACCACAGTGTGTTTCTAACCCCTTCGGTGCTACAGTCTGCAGCATCCCATCGGCCAGAGACACTGCGCTCAGCCCTGCGTTGTCTGTGGCACTTCCCATGGGAGCACCACCAGGCAAGAGAGGCTCCAAGGCTTCGCCCTCGAGGCCAGGGCCAGTAAAAGCCAAATTCTGCACTCATGGGTCCTCCCTGAGGAGATTGTCCCAGGTGGGTGATGGAGGGAGGGGCTGAGACCTGTCTAGGTGGGATGCTGCCTGCTGTGGGGTCCAGGCTCGGGGCAGAGCACTGGGCAGCAGGTGCTGCGGCGCTGTGCTTGGGGACGTGCTGCTGACTTCTCCTGACAACTGGAGCTTTTTCCGTGTTGTTTTGTTCCCAGGTATGTTAAGTGCCCTTAAATGAGCATGGGAGAGCGTGAGTCGCTAGCCAGGAAGATGCGGTGTGATGGTCACTTCCCAGATGTGGAGTTTTCAGGCATAGGCATAGGCATCTATTAGGATTCAGGCATCTATTAGGAATGAAAAGTTCTGCTACAGAGCCCAGTGTAACACTCTTACCCAGCAGCAAGAGCTCTTACTAATGTGAGCTTTTAATAAATGGCTGCAAATGAAACAGCTTGAGGGGAAGTGGCTTAGAGGGGAAAAAGGGACTCAGCATCCCAGCCTGCTCCAGGGGTGTCACTGCTTAGCACAGTGCTTCTTATCCTACGTCTCCCCACTGCGGAGTAAAAATACACTGTACACTGGCACGGTCTACCTCTCTTGGGGTTTCTTCCTCCCTCTCCTTTCTGTGGAGGAAGATGAAGGCTGACACTCTCCTGCCCTCTTAGGCAAGGGGGAGGCTGCGCTTCCCTTAGGGCTGGCAACTGGGAGGCTAAACGGCAGCAGGACTGGTGCCAGCTCCTTCCGTGGCTCTGCCTTTAGCCCTGCTGCACCGAGCCGCTTGTGACCTGCAGGGTTAGGAAAGTGCCGGTTGTGAAACAGGGCAGGCGGCAGGCAGAGCACCCAGCACGTGGCTTCGCTGCTCTCATTCCTGATGCTGGAGGCTGGCTTGCGGCAAAGCTGCAAGGATCTTAGGATCCTTGTGGTTTGCTCTGCCTGTCCCTGGAGGCTTCCTAGGACAAGGAATCAGAATTTTTTAATTTTTTTTTTACTCCACATTTCCTTTTCCCCACCGATTCCCACATGCTGAACTGTTCCCCAGCAGCCCAGCGCCATGTATTAAAAGCAAGATCATCCCACTCGGGGTTATGTGTACTGTTTTTGAGAAATCCACCGGATCTGTTGTGCTTTCTGTGTGGCAAATAACTTTTAACTTAAAATCTCTCCTTTGGTTTGAAAAGCTGGGGGACGGGCTGAAACAACGCGCTGCTGGGAGTGGGTGGCACTTGTTTCAAGGGGGAAAATAAAGGAACAGACACATTTCTGCCTGGGCAGGGAAAGACGAGCAATGCGTGTGGGCAGTGTGAGGCTGGAGACGACTCGTGGCCAAAGCCCATTACATTTCTATTTGTGGAGAGCACCAGGAAGCTTGCAGGTGCTGGAGACACCCACTCCGTGTTTGGGTTTCTCACCTCGAGCAGTGGTTATGTGCCCGTGTGCCGCTCGTGGCTCCCAGCCAGAGCGGAGCTGGCAGCCAGGGCTTTCTCTTTGGTTTGACCCATTTACGCCGTTTTTCAGGAGCTGCTCTGCCAATCCCTGCCCTTAGCACAGCCTCTGCACCCGCTCAGCGGCACTGGCTCTGTCCTCTGGTCTCTGCCCACACCAGGGACATTTCTCAAGGCCTGGATTGTGTTACCACATTCCTGCCATCACGTGGACGTTGTGTAGCCGGGGCATGTGGGGTTGAGGGCCCAGGAAGCTTCTTTTGGGAGCCTTTGATCAGATGTGATTTTCCCACAGTGCTATGGTGGGATAAGCGGCGGCTTTGCAGCTCGCTGCGGCTGGATGCGGGGGTACCCCGTGCTTGTCTGTCCTGATGAAAAATGCCACAGCCTTGGCTTGAAGGC